ATATACTGTGAGTTCATTTAGTATTCCATTACATAACTGAAAATATAATTTATTATCACGTTCTATCAGTCATTATGACGCTTTCACACGTTTTAAGAAAAAGCACTAAAAATGTAAGGATCATTTGGATCTCGAGTTTGAAATCAATAGCCAAAGCATAATAATAAGTCTTTACATTAAAAATTTAACTGTTTCGATTTTTCATCTGGTTAATTTCACATTTGAGTTAAAATCTAGGTATTTTTTGAGTAATTAAATGGTTCGAAACTGTAGTTTATAATTCTTGGAAATACCTCCTATATCTTTAATTTCTATTTTAAAACTTTTTTTAAAGTAAAATAATTCCTGGCAGAATAAATTACAATATCATTCATTGCAACATATATCCTGTTCTTATAAAAATGTTCAGAACATTAATTCCATTCAAATTTTCATATTCAGATGTCATATTGATGCATTTATAATCATGTTCTTGTTAAAATTGAACGATTCAACTGCATAATCAAGTATATAACTTGAAAAAATTCTAGAGATAATGAGAATAACTGTTTTTAGGATTCAAATCTTGATAGCTAATGTTTCTGAAAATTTGTGTCTTATCATTGTGTATCAAATTTTTTAACAATGCACTTACTACTAAGGGCTTTGTAAATTGGTTATACACAGACGATGCAAAGAGTAATTCGGTTTTGTGTTAACTTAATGGGAAAATAAGAAGTAATAAAAAAAATAAATTAAGTGAGCGCTTATCATATTCTTAAAGAGCCCAATGAAAGTTTTCTAATCCATTCTGTCTTTAAAAATATGTCCATAAAAATGCAATGTTTGGGCCATTTTAAGCATTCACAATTCTATGAACAAATATTATTTTATTCCAAATTTGACAATTTTTTTTAACTGAAGTTTGCATGATATAGAAATAACGTATATTGATAATGCACATTCAAATAATCCCTAGACAACCACGACACACATTATCAATCGTACACAGAAAATATTGTCTGAATTGTATGTGTCAACAGCACATGTCAGCAACGACTTGAGTGATTGCACATTCGAACTTTATTTGCACTGAATTTCGAAGATGTATTGAACCATCTGTTGTGCAACTGAATTTTGTCATAAGACTAAATGTAGATAAAGATAAAAGAATTTCTCTGATCAATTCTGGAAGAATTTCAAAAACCTTTTTAATCTCTTTTTCAATGACGCGCATTTGCATAATTTCTCGGTTTAATGAATAACAGCTACAGTTACGCCTTTTCTCCTCCTCTTCCATAAATTCAGACTTCGTGGCTTAACATCTAATCATGTGACGTGACATGAAAATATGCTTAATTTATGGGTAATAATTTATAACATTTAATAGGTAGCGGGTAAAAGCACTTTCGTTGAAAAAATACAAGTTTTATGTTTAGTGCACGAAAAAAAAAGAGAAAACTTATCACCTGCACGTGCACAATAATCATATTTTCACGTAATCAATCTTAATGGTTTGAGGGAGTGAATTCAAAGATGCATAATAATTAGCGTATTTTTGTTACGAAATTAGGCACAAAAACAAACTTTCTCTTAATAAACAGGTATTTTTTTCGATAGATTTGGATTTATAACCCCTAAAGTATAGAGAGTAGCAGAAATCTGGGAAATAAGGTCCCAAAAGTTTATTCCAGAGAGCGGTCAACAGTTTACACCTCTCAATGTTAATTTTTCTTTTCGGGTATTCCGCCATATATTGAGAACTTTTTAAGCGAATTGAAAATTTTTTGCCCAGAATGTTAAAATAGGGTTATGAGGCAATTCCAGGTAAAAAATACATCTTTTATAATTATTTATTATTTTGCGTAGCAATAGTTTTAAAAAATTTGAACTGTCTAACATATAGCATAATTTTAAGAATAATGTTGATATAACGATATGAATTTCATTATTCATTCAAATAAAATTAATTAAGTTTGGATCATCATATATTTTCAAAATTATTAATAGCGTTTCATTGTTAATATGTTCACAATTGCTAATGTGCATTATATGTGCATTATAATGTGCATTATAATGTGCATTGCTAATGTGCATTGAATTAATGTGCACAATTGTAAATGCATTCATTGCGTCTATTGGTTCCACCAAAAAAGGGCCGATCATTTACGGTTCCTCAGCGGAAATTGGAAAAAGCTAAGTTAGAGAACAAAAATAAAAATAACTGGAGCAATGTTTTATAACGAAATGGTTAGTAGTCGTGTTGTTGACAATCTTACGATCTTTTTGAATGTTTAGAGACTTTAAAAATTAATGAAACTGAAATTCACCTTAAAATAATTATGCATTCTATAAGGAAATTTATGTTTGAATGACTTATAGAAGATAAATATGATGGTAGAAATATTTTTTTAATCAAATGGTTAGAAGTACTAACTTTATAGTTAATGATCATAAGATCCATCAGAAGAACTTATTTTGAATCAATTCTGTACTTTTTTTAAAAAGATAATTTCACTGATTTATGTAAGAACTACAATTCTCTCCCCCCTCTCCTACTCGCTATTTTTGCAGTTCCGGAGTTAAATCTAAACAGAAATGTGTTACGTTTAAATTTGAACTTGCTTATGACTATTTTCTCAATTGATATTGCACATCTTTGTTGCCAACGCGGAAAAAGAATTTCATCGGGTTTTTTTAACAGCATAAGCATTTGTGTTTTATATAATATAGATACAAATGAAAATGGCAACAATTATTTCATTGTCAAAATAGTTAAGAGGACCAAAGGCGTTGCTGATGATCTTAAGCACTCGATTACAAAATTAGTAGCATATTTTTTTAAAAAATAATTTTTAATTTTCTGAATTATATAAAGATAAATAATTATTCTTATTCACTAGATTCTAGAACATACTACATGAGATATTGTTTTAATTATTATTAATTTAATCTCGTCGTAAATCTTTTAACTTTTTTATGTATTCATAACGAACATATGAAAAAAAATAGATATGTATGAAACAAAATTGAGAAGAAAAATGCAGATCAGAATTAAACTATTGAGAAAAACTTGCTTTTCAGATACTTATATAATTCTAATTTAGAAAGGACAACCAACGGAAATCGTGCATTGCATACTGAGTTGGTAGACTGAGCTCTGAATGAAAATAAAAAAAAGTAAATTAATTTCGAACGGTCTAATAACTGAAGCAGAATATTAATGACCTATGATAGATTTATATAGAAATAAACACATAGTAACATGTTCATTATATATGCTTATATAATTAAGTGCTCACCAAAGGTGCAATTTTGCTAAAAATCTGCCAAATAAAATAAATATTCAGGGAGGGAAACCATTCAATCATTAAATTAGGAGTTGCTCTATTTAAGAGAGAATGATCAGCAGCCGTATTATACTAAAGTCATACAGAGAAAAAAACTCTGGTTGAATTACCGTATTGTATGGTAATGATATTTCTGGTAAAAATTAAACCATAATTCTGATTAATAAAATCAAAATATGTAAACCATTCATTTGGTAATTTTTTCGTTCATATGGTAACGGTTTATTAGAAAATCTGGTGTTTCAAAATTATAGTACTACACATTTTAGTAAAAAATACAAAACTGAAAAGTAAATTTAGCCGAATAAATGATTTTTATATCATGCTCTAAGGTATTATGCTGAACTTGAAAAATTTTATCAAATATTATAAAGCCATATTTTATTGTTAATTTTACCAAAATCATTACCAAATGGTTCGGTAAAAATTATTGAGATTTAAGGTGTTCCCAGCAATATTTCGGTAGTTTTGACCTTACTTTTTTTCACCGTGAATAAAATGCATATAGTTTTAATGTAAGAAACTGGCATGAAATAATTGTTATTTAACTTTATAATAAAGATTTTTGTTTATCTTTATTAAAATTATCATGAAATTATTTTCATTAAATCATTTGAGTAAAAAATATTAATAAATTTAGCTATGGTTGAAACTGTATGTCGAACTCAGAAAGTGAAAAAAATTGCTATATTTGTTTTGGAACGGTCATTTTAAAGAATAGGATACATATTTTATGGAATATTATACTAAATATAATATTTTTATCATTCTAACTACAATCTTTTTTTAAAAATTCTGTTAACTTGTTTATGCATTTGAATGTGTTTTAAATTTGAAACACGTAAAGTAGCAAGCCTGTTTATCGAGTATCTATCGATAGAAAGGAAGAGGATAACCGTTTCTAATAAATTTCTCAAACAATTCATGTACAATGATCCTTTATAAATGAAAAAGATTAAGTTGCTGACTTCCCCTTACGAAAAAAACAATCGCAAGGAGCATTGCCCAGAAATGAGAAGAAAAAAAAACTTGTAAAACTATTCCATTTGGAGCTTGTATTCGAAGGAGTCCAATATATGTGACTACCGTAGGTTATCAATTCGCATAAAATATATGCATGGACAATTTCTTGTCTGAAAAATTATTGTAATTTTTTGTGATATGATGATTGTGAAATGATTGATAAGTGAAAAGATTTTATTACCAGTTTTTTTTGTCCATTGTGGAGTATATATCCCCGCGAAAGATTTGCTCATGACAATAATTCAATATGTTGAGTTTTCATAAGCCTTAAATCAAAAAAAAAAAATTACCACGCTTTTTACTTTGAATAATTAGTTATTTCGTATCATGTGAGATGATCACCATAAGAAATAGCTTTTGAAATCCTACGCATAAGTAAGGGTAACTCTAGAGAAATTGGCATGAGATTTACATTGCCGTACAACAAGTATCCGTATAACAACCGTACAGCAGTATAACAAGTAGTATAACAAGAATGGTAGGTCAGTGGTGAAAATTTCTGGAAGCAATTATTTTACGGAATGGTAGGTAGCACATCACCTTTTTGTTTTTATATTAAATTTTACTAAATTATAGAACTCTATACCCGATTTCTTAGGCTGATTAAGCGCCCAGAAATTGTAAACAGGTGCATATTTATATTCTTACCTGAGAGATATGTCTCCATCACAGAAATAGGAAAATATGTTGGATGTCACTCCGCCAGGACTGCAGGCAAGCACAAGCATGCCAGTTGCATAAAGAGGATCCAGACGCAACAGCAAGATGATGATGAATGCTGACAACGGCAATAGGCAAAACTGACTTAACATGCCAATCACTACACCTATAGGCCGACTTAGGTGATTCCATACCTGCAAAAAATATAAATCGTGATGTTCTTGAAAATGAAAGGGCAAATGATGAAATTTTCCATCAAACTTAAACAAAATATTATTGATTACAAGTAATCAATCAGTTTAATCGTAACTTATTAGGCGAAATGTAATTGATTACCTGCAAAATTTAATTAAAATTATGTCAGATTTAAATAAAATGTTATAGATTGCAAGTAATCAACTACTCAAATCGTAACTTAATAGGCAAAATGTTATTGATTACTTGTAAAATATCATCATTAGAAATATCTGTAGTCAAAGCCACAATTTTAATCAAGGATAGATCCAATAAAAATTACTTGAAATCGGGGATTATATAATCGTAATTTTATTGCTTGGAATCATGATTTCAATTAATTACTGCTATATTTCGCAATTAAAATTTTCAATTTTAGTCGTAAAATATGATTGTCTGTAATCACAAATGTAAATTATTATTACTTCTAACACTGATTACAAATAATTATTTACTTTTAACCAATTAAAATTTGCTCAACTTCGGTTTCTGCAAATATTAATCGATAAGATGCTGAAACGAAACTGGATTCCTTAGAACCTCCTTATTCTCCTTAGAACCTGAATTCCTTAGTAAGGAATCCAGTTTCAGTATTTCGTATTTCAATATGGTTTCAGTTATTTGACACAGAGAAAAATATCATTTAAAATTATCGTACTGTATGGTAATGACATTTCAGGTTAAAGAAAAAAATCATAATTCTGTTTTGTAAAACCAAAATATATGATATATAAACCATTTGTTGAGTAATTTTTCCTACGGTTACCAGAAATTCTGACTTTTAAAATTTTTGTTATGACCACACATTTTTGGTTACACAAAATTGAAAAGCAAACTAATCAAATAAATGATTTTCATGCCTTACTCTAAGGTATTGTGATAAAATTATCAAATTTTACCACTTTTTCTAAAACTATATTTCATTGTTAACGTTACTAAAATATTTACTAAAGTGATTCTGTAAGAGTTTCCGAGCTTTTCGGTGTTTCCATAGAAAGAGAAATCATCACATCATTACGCATTATAGCATGTGTTAATTTCAAAAAGAAGTATTTACACGCGTAGTAGAAATTTTATACTGGAGAGTAGCAACTGGAGATTTTGTACTGGATTAAACAGTTTCAAAGAAAATTATTTTATATCCTGAAGTATGCATATTCCTTTTAATATACTTTGAATTTTAAAATGTTGGTGTTAAAAATTTAAACAAAATAAATTATTTTAAGAAAAAGTTTCAGACGAAAAAAATTGCAAAGGAATACGCTTTTTATTTGCATGGAAAAAAAACGAATTCTAAAGTCTTAAAAGTGTAAAATGTAAAAAATCAAGTCAATTTTATGATATTGTGTTTGGACATAATATTAAGTTTTTGTCGAATCACCCATATGTGTCACTATTGGGAAAAATTGTCCCATCCAAAAAAAAAAGAGTTTTTAAAATTACTTTCAAAATATTGTTATGCTAAGTTGCAAAAATAAAGGTTTCACATTAGGTATAAGTTGCCTAATTATTTTATAAATCGAATTAATGTACATTTTTGACAAGAATGCAGTAACAATCTTTTTTTCCTTATCGAATTATCACAAAAATTTTTCTCGTCGAAAGCATAAAAAAATATAAAAATTATATTACCGAACATAATTAATAACTCAAACTAGAAATATTCTTTCAGAATCTTTCTATGTTCAAGTTTTTTCAAATATTAAATATGAAATTATATCAAATTTTTATTATATATTTACTATTTTTATAAATTGTGCAAAATCGGATATCGTAGATTTTCTTTTTATGAAAATGTCATTTAAAATTTCATTAATTGCCTTAGGTTTTTTCTATTGCATTTTTTCTATATGCATGAATGCAATTTTCGGCAAAAAACACTTTTCAATTTAACAATATTTAAAATATTTTTATTGTCTTTAATGTTTTTAAGAATACTATAAATAAATGAGTGTTTTAAATTTTTTGATTTTTTATAATTGTATTTAAATGAATATTTTTTTCATGGTGTTTGACAATACCACCAGCAAAGCCATTAATATTATCTGTATCATCTGTATATTAATATTATATTGGTATAATATATATCCTTTGGTATTTATTTCAGTACATATGTAGGGGGATGAAAAGATTTTGAATTTTTTGTTAATTAATATTAAAAATTTTGTAAATTTTTTGTTGAATTATTTGTATAAAAAAATAATGAATTTTTGGGTTCGATATATGCCTTGGAATTTTTCAAAAATTCCAATAAACTACAGAGATATTGAAAACAAATGCATAAAAGTGAAATTGCAAATTTTTAAAGAGAGTATTTTTTCCTGCTGTGCAATTCACGTTCTGGCAACATTAGCATTATCGCCCCAGAATTTTTTTTTTTCAATTTCTTTCCGAAATGCAAAAAAAAAAAAAAAAAAAAAAAATCAANTGAATGAAAAAAAAAAAAAAGAAAAGAAAAAGAAAAAAAAAATCTCTTCTCTCAACTTTTTTACGGAAACAATTGCAGTGCGAAGAAATAGTACTTTTCTTTCCTTGGAGCTTGATGCTCAGAGATTTCGATTCGAAATAGATCCAAATTTATAGCATAAAAGTATTATGCAATATTATTTATTTGTATATACAAGGTTAAAAATAACAGATTTAAGAACTTGAATCAACAATTGATGAATGACAATATGAACTTGTAAATAATTGCCACATAACTGACAAAACATTTAAAGCAATAGCTTAAAGTTAAGTCTTTATTAATCTTTTCTTTTGTGTTGCAAGTGTCAACAAACAATGTTTACTTGATTTAACGCTTCTATAAAACGTAACACAATAACCCTTGAGGTAAATATTACATTCATTGATAGCCGCTCATTGAAAAATGATGGAAATTTCCTAAGCTAGACATAAAATAATAGTATTTCAGTGTCCATCAGCGTTCCCATTCCTATTACCTACAAGGTCATGTCAAAACTTTCTTTTGGCGAGGAATTTCTCCTCCAAGGGCACCTAGTAGAGTAGCTTGGGGTACATTAACTAGGAAAACTATCAATTATATAACTTATAGGATGCGAAAATCAAGGTTGTTAGAGATTTCGAGATTCTTTTTTCATATGCAACAGGAATGTGAAATACATGAAATAAAAAAATGCCACAGAATTTATGATCTCATAATCGAAATTGAACGGTCAATGTAATATGATTTTTTTTCTTTCATTCTTGTACTTTTTAATACAATCGAAGCTTCTTTGTTCAAAAGAAAATAAGCTTCAGAAAGTGATGTCATTACATTGAAATCCACAAAAGAAAGGTCATAAATATTTACTCTCAATTAAAAAAAAATAATAAATTCAATCACTTAGGATATGAAATCTAGGAATCTGGGATAGAATGGTTGTCTCATGCATTCAAAGAGAATTCAGTATGATTCACACTAAAATTTTGGGTTTGCGACTGCTAATGTTCAACTTGTAATTTGTCGCCTTGTAATTTTGAACCTAATCCAGAAGAAAAGAGAACTCCTAGATCAAGTACTGGAAAAAATTTGCTTTCGTGGAGGACTTTTTGATGGAACTAATTTGCATTTGCGTTACATAGAGAGTAAAATCGAAAAAACCTCCCACGGTTAGCCTAACGGCAAAGGGATTCTTACCCATGATCCGTCTACCACTGAGAATTTTTTACGTCAGCATTGTGGTCGGTGCAAGCCGGGTGCAGAAATCGTATAGACCGATGCAAGTGAAACGGGTTCAAATCCCAGTGATGGCTGCTTAGCCATCACTGGGATTTGAACCTCATTGAAAGACAAAAGCTTTATCCCCTGAGCCACCACGGCTTTAACATGCTGTGTTATGAAAATAGAGGTTTACATAGTTTTATTGAAACTTCTTCTGAATCAAATTACTCATTGTCAATGGAAGCATTTTATTTTGAAAGCTACAAAGAGTTGGACACTTATTTTTAAGTGATTTTCATGTGAATAAAAAAAAATGAAATTAATTTCCTTCACTATATTGAAATGAACAATTCACTGCTCGGACGCTCTAACGGGAGCTCAAATAATATTGAATCTTTGGGATAGAAAATGGGACTTTATGTATCAGGCAATGAAAGAGCTGCTATTATGGGAGGTCTTATTAAAGAGAGTATGCGTTGTAATAAGGCTTTACTTATTTAGGATCAATTATTACTATTGATAACAGAATGTCTCCGGAAATAAAAAACAGCCTCTATCTGGCAAATAAGGCTGTCTATAGGCTGAGAAGATTTATTAAATCTAGCCTTCTTTCTAGAAAAACAAAGTTCTTAATTGATAAAACTCTTCTCAAGTCGGTCGTGACATATGCTTCTGAAGCTTGGACAATGACAAAACTGGAGGAAAATTGTATCACAATATTTTAGAGAAAAATTTTGCGGAGTATACCTGTAGCTGTAAATGAAAACAATAACCGGAGAAGGAGATTTAACTTAACACAGTACAAGATTTATAAACAACCTGAAATTATTAAATACATAAAAATGAATGGAATGAATTGGGTGGCAAACGTGATTCGAATAAGTGATGACAATACCATAAAAAAGATATTACTTTTTAGACCCACTGGAACAAGAAAGTGGGGAAGTTGTCATGGGCTAATTCGGTGGAATCTGATTTTCTTGCAATGAATAAAAAGAATTCTAGATCAAAGATAAATCGAAAATTAATATGGAGAAATCATCAGAGGAAGGCATTGGCCCACATTGAGCTGTCTGGCCAGCTAAGATGATGATGACGTAATAATAACGAGCGATTTTGAACCTAGCTTAGAGAGCAAACAATATCAAGTATGAGTATATATAGAGATCTATCATGCGAAAGGCGATAAGCAAATGGGAAATCTTATTTTAGCGTTGTGTTTATCAAACGGAAACATTACAAAAACTCACAAATCATTACCAGGTTTTGAACCTAGGGCACTTCTGAATCAAACTTTCTATCTTTCGGACCGGCCTAGATTTTTGCTTATTTTTTATTTATTTTTATTTTTTATACATAAAGTTAAATATTGCGAAGTAAACATGCCTTACAAATTACATTAAATTTCTTGTTAATTTATTGAAATATATTTATTTTATTTTATGGTTCAATAAACTTCAGAAGTAAAAGAAAACTTCAACACAAAAAATTCAACTTTCAAAATTTGACTTAAAAAGTTGTTACAGTTTTGAAATCCTTAGTAATTCAAATTCGTATAAGACTATACGAACTTTAACTACGAATTTTGATATACAAATTCAAACTTTAAAATATAACTTTAAATATAACATATTTTGACAAAGCAATAAAATACATTCTAAAAAAATCATTGCTTTTTAACTCATAAACATATGATAATCATTAAAATAACAATAATGATGGTAAAGATAGCATAAACTTTTAATTTCATATTTTATGTAGTTATGAGTATTCAATTTCTGAAAGGTATTTTTATTCAGTTAGTTTTTTTAGGTTTATTATTATCGTCATTATTTAATATTCATAGATAAAGCAGCAAGTATAGAAAGATGAAAATTTAGAAGGAGGAAAATAATGCAAAAACAATATTGACACAAAGCAATTAAGGTCTAAGAAGCTGTTGGAGGTTGAGTCACCCCATCTCTGCATCCAGCTCCTCGGCCAAGATTATGCTAAAAAGTACAGTCCAATCGGGCAGGGAAATGGCCCTTTGACCAAGCTTAAAAAGATGAATACGCTCTCCACTAAACGCTCCATGAACATGCAAGACCGTTACAGCCGGTCAATTCTTACTCGTTTGATATTATCATCACTTACGGATTTTTAAAAAAGATGATTGAAGTAATAAAACAATGATTGAATGAATGTCTTACCTCATTCCAAGTGATATGGCATCCCATGGCAAACATGACGGAAATGAGCAGCACACAAATGAGAATGTCATGGGCTAACTTAATAACAGGATCTGGCATGGACACTACAGGCAATGACACGTCCAGCAAGCTCCCATTGGCTAGGACGGTCAAGTTCTCTTCCATAGCATCAGATAATAAGGAAGCACTTGTCAAATTCATATTTTCTTCTCAGTGGTACAAGAGTTTAAATAAAATTAAAAAGCTATGAAGTTGAAGCGTTTAATCGAATATATTCGATTTATGATTTAAATATGAAAATGTGTGACGAATTTAATGTTTGTACATTCAAATTCTCAGGAACAAAATAAAGAAACTTTGGTATTTAAAAATTAACTCGCAAAGAGAGGAAAAGTTGCTACTCCGGTTTCCGGCCTTCAAAGTCAGAAGATTTTCTGCAGTTAATTTTTCTTTCCTCCAATCAATTAACAAATCAGATCTTTAATTAATTCGGTCAGAAATCGCAACTTCAATCAAAAACTCCTCTTCTTTTCTTGACGGATAGTTGTTGATCTAAGATTTATCTTCTTTGACTAAATAGAGACTTTGGCGTGAATAGTTTTTGGTTGAGAACTTCGTCCGATGGTGGAAAAGTTTTAGCTGAATGCTATTGATAAGCCAAAAGGGGTTTTAAGAAACCGGACAATGGGGTGATAGTCCTACGTTTAGCGTTTGGGCCTGTAGATAACCAACGTTGTGGGCAAGAAGCCTTGTAGTGGGCTTCACTGTGGCACATGAGCTATTTTTATTCTTCTTGAAGCTATCCGGCAACGAGAATTCCCCGGGAAAAGTCAGCTGGAAGAAGAAAAAAAACAGGCATATGTACTAAAATGCTAATGAAATATATAATTTTCTAAATAATGCCTTAAAAAAAGACCCAGTTGAGTTTTAAGAAAATGTCAAACACACAAAATCAAGAGATTTGTTTTTAATAGATTTTAAATGCAAAAAAAAAAATCATTTTAATATTGTTAAAATTTGATACATAAATTTAACTTTTATAAATTTTCAGAATTTAGATATTTTGATGAAATAATTAAGTACATTTGCTTAACCCCCTTCTGGAGCTTAACCACATATACCTGATCACGTGATTCCCCGTACACGAGCCACAATATCAGATACTAAACGGGACTTTCTGGCTTCAGTGGCGTAGGATCACACGGGCATGATCTCAACACGTAAATACGAAATACTAAAACTTACTAATACGAACTGTACATTTCGTATTACATCTCGTTAGATTACTTTTCGTATTTGTTCATTATTAGTTAGCATTACATTGCTAGTACATTATTATTTAGAATTACAATTCCTATAAACTCGAAGGGTTTAGCACAGTGCTTCCCTCCACCGGTCTAGAAGGGGTTAAACAGGGTACTGAAGCAAAATATTTTAAGTAAAACGTCATGTTTATTGAACATAGTAGAAATTACGTAATTTAGAAACAATTCAAAATGGTTTTTGATTTCAATAATAAAATATTAAAATATGCACACAAAAAATAGAATTGATAGAAAATTTTCTAAAATGTTTAATCCAAAATAGATTTTCAATGTAAGCGCAAGTTTCTTAATTGTAACTTATTGAAAAAATTTGCAAAAAATTATGACAATTTGGTGTTTAAAAGCTTCGCTTTGCTTAAAATGATAAGTCAAATTTTCACGTCAAGAGGATTTTTTTTTTAATTTTCTCAATAGAGGAAATTGAAAAAATAAAGAGCGTTTAAAAAATGTCGAGAAATTTGAAAAAAAGATGCATCTTTAAATATAAGAGAAGAGTACAAGTTTAAATTTATTCTGTTGTTGCGTACGGTTATAAAATTACCATAGGCATTAATTTTTATTTAAAATTGCAAAAAAAAAAAAATTTATGAAATTTAGTAAAAAAAATGAAATTTTATTCTCCACAAATACCAGATTAAGTTTATCATTAAAAAATCATATTTTATTAATTTTCTGATTCAAATATAGTTTTCTCATTTATTATTTAATTCAAATTCTACCTAAAATTTCCCAACTTGTAGACATTAAAAATAGTAATACTGGAAATAATTTAATGCGGGAACTTCTATTTTTAGTAATTCGTTTCAATTTAGAGAGTATATTTCGAATTTTTTAAAAATTTAATTCATATATGAATTCGTAAAAATGAAAATAATAAATAAATTACGAAATTACTATAAAATAAATTATAATTTAAAAAAAAATAAAAGACGCGTATTCGTGGGCCAAAGTTTGCCTTATAATTGGTATACCTACAGTATTATTTTGTAAATTAAAAAAGCATTAAAATTGGCTTTATAAATTGATTTGTAAATTTTCGTAATCAATTAAGTTTTTTTTAAAAATACTAATCGTTTTAAGAAAAAACAAAAAAATATATTTTCCACTTGGGAATTAGGGTTACGAATAAAGCAAAACAGCGTGAATAAATATAATAAATAAAGGTACAGAAAAAAGTAGAGTATTTTGTGTTTCTATCACGCTGTTTTGTTTTATTTATAAGTAGCAGAAAGTATACTCCATCTTTCATTCGGATTATGATTTCAAACAATTGAGATAAAAAGTGAAAGTCATTTCTCCCATTTGAAAACAAAGAAACTCCTGTAACAGACATGAAATCTTAAAAGATATCACTCTCGATGTACTCGGAAGTGCTCAACAACCAAAACAAAAATAAATAAATAAATAAAAAAAAAGCGAAGGTCGAGTTTGTAATCGATGAGTCCTTGAACAAGCGAATACCGATTGGCGAGTTGACCAATGTCGAACTATTTTCACGCACCTGGTCTATCTTACCTGTTAAGCATTTAAATCTCATTACGATTATGATACCGGCCGAATTTTAAGAGCTTGTTTCTGTGAGAAGCCAAGTGATAAAGCTATGCCTCATCAACCGGGGAAGAAAAAAAATGAAAGTTGTCTGGAGGCCTGCTTGCTCTCGTATGATACATTTCACAGCAATTATCGAAAAGGCGTAAGGGAAACGCAACATTAGTAAAGTCTAAATGTTTCCGAACTTATAATCTGGCCAGACAAGGTTGTAATTGAAATTAAAACCTTGAATGGAAATATACACTTTTAAAAAAAACGCCATTTCATTCACATAGCGGCATAGTACTATTTCCTAATATATTCACTAAGTTATACACATTATCATTTGTATGTTATATTTCATAATCATTGTGTCTATTCATACCTAGTATCTTTTTAGAATGGTTTCTTAATAATAAAAAGAAGCAAGAGACTTAAGGTTTTTTTCCGTTTCTCTATTATTAAGGTATAAAAAAATTGCTTTACGACCTTTAATAACTTTTTGTCTTTATTTTTTACGTTTAAAATAAATTCGTCAATATGGTATACGTAGCTTTCAAATATCAAATAACTTGGAAACTATCACAATAATTGTCTTTCTACTATACGTTTTAATGTGATTTACTATTTTAATTTACAAAAAAGAGCCTGGAATTCAAATTCTAATTTTGATAACAATTATTACAATGACCAATTTTCATAACCAAGTTAATAGATATTGAAAAACGAATTCTATATTTCAATCACTTCTCTTTCTCTTTATCTTTCTCATTATCTTTGTTTATTTAATTTAAGGTTGTCTACTAATAAAGATTTCCTCCTTAATATTTAGAAATTATTTATTTATTTATTGCACTGTTTATATCAGAACAAGTTTTAGTAGTTTTAATGTTTGTTTAAAGGTAAAAAATAAAATTTAAGAAACTAGAATCTTATTGTTCTAAACCACACTAATTTTATAATGTTTCTAAATAGAAATATATACTAAATCATGCTGTTTTTAATAAACCGTGTTGTAATTTCTAAACAATTTGAAGTAATTGTTCGTATTGTTTGATGCCAAATTTTTCTTCTTTTTAAAGAAAGAAATTTTTATAATTTGTTGGCCTAAAATTTAGAAAAAGAAACATTCAATCTCACACAAATATATCATAGTTTTTAAAAAATTGGAATTCTTTTGCTTTAATAAATATAAATCTTTTAAAATAAAACTATTTTGTCTAAAATTTACTTATCAGAAATAATAATAATTTATGCTTATTTCTTAATCGTACAGGCGCAAAACTAAATCATATTTTTCTTCTTGCGAAAGATTTTCCATACAAATAAACTATTTGACTTTAGCTCGTCCATTATCACAAAATAAAATGCATTATAACCAAAAAAGTATTGTTTGCCAGCAGTTTAAATCATTTTAAAACCTGAACCAAAAATACCAATATCAATACAATCGTCATTTTTATTTTCACGCTTAATTCTAATAGAGTATTTAGGAGGAATTTCTATCAAAATGGAAACATATTATAGAAGTAAAGGAGAAGTTAGTTTATTTTTAATAGGACAATTTCGCAAAAAAATTTATTTGCAAAAATTAGTCAGCAGTATCTTTTATAAACTGACATGATAGTTGATTAATATTACTTATTATATATGTTGGAATAATATAATTGTTAAGGATATTATTCCTTAATAAATGCTTAGCAAAAAATTTAGAAATCTAAAAAAAGTTTCGTTAACAAAAAAAATTAGAATTATTATAAGATTTTGTGAAAAAATCTTTCAATTAGCATCTTGAAAAAATATAAACATATTCTCTTTAATATAAACTTAAAAATATTCCAAATGTTTTTAAACGTGGAGAGTTTAAAAATGTTCTATGAAGTAAATAAGTGAAATTACAAATAAATAAATAAATAATAGAATACATAAATAAAAATTAAATAAGAAAATACAAATGAAATAAATATACAAAAATATAAATAAATAAACAAAAATAAAATAAATGAATTAATATTCTCAAAATTTAAAGTTATTTTGTTATTAGGGAGCAATTATTAGTTCAAATTGTTTATCTAATATTTATCAAAATAATTTTTCAACACAAGTTTTTTGAAAAATGTAAATAATCGTTGAAGTCAAATATTGTAAAAACTTACCTAATTTTTTAAGCTTTTGATAAATCCAAACAAATTCTTCAGTAAGAATTGAATTAATGAGGATTTCCCTTTTTATACCTATTGTCATAAACTTGACGACCTTTATCACCAGGTGGCGTGCCGTTTTTCTGGCGGTAATTCCAACATCATCCTTGCCGGACCAGTTGACATACGCAAGATCAAAAAACTTTCTTTTTTCTTCCCCTTCTATTTTCGGCCACCCCTTCTTAAAATTTTCGCAATTCGTCTTCGATGTTTAAAGATCCGTTCATTTTCTCTTTAATCTGGCGATACATTTCATTTCATTTCTTTTTCTTTTATTATCGTTTTTTAAAATAAAACAAGTTTGCTCAAAATATTTGTTTCTAACCAAGCTTATCGTTCACAATTACCAAAATCGCTCGCTTAATGATCAGGATTACAGGATTAATTGCAGGATTTCAAGATTACGGGGGGGAAAAGCTGCTATATTAGATTAATAAGTCAGCGAAAAAATAGATGGAAAAGTTGAACTTCTTTTATAAATTAAACTATTTTGACATCGGCAAAATTTGAAAAAAAAAGAGAAAAGTTATTGAATAATTAACTACTCATAGAACGATTGAGTTAGAATATTTGTTTTTAATTACGCTGGCAATTTTCGCACATATTTTGAATTATTCTGTTAGCAATTACTGCACATTCACATGTTTAGAATTAGTATTGCATATTTAAAAATTCAAATTTCTGCACAAAATTATAACAAAAATGTACTAAATAGACTAACTTTAATGTCCATTAAAGCGTCATGTCGGATATAGGAATTTTAAGATTTTTTATTTACACATTAATTTTAGACTACTTCTGATCCCCAAAAAAGAATGTAGTTTAAATCAGTATATCTTACATTGCAAAAAAAAAAGAAAAAAAGAGAGAGAGATTTATATGATACAGGCTCACAATGAATAGGTTGCAAAAATTTCTTTACTTAATTAATAATGATTTTGAGCAATTATAATTCTTACAATTACGCTATTATGCTCCCCTGAAAAAGTTTGATTTTTTTTAATAGCATGTTTTTTATAATTTGCATATATACAGATTTTGTATGTATGCAGATTTTGCTCTCTTGAGATATTTGTGGAGTTCTGACAACCATTCTATTCCTCATCTCTTACGTTTTTAAAAAATGTAAGTATAATCTATTTAATTATATATAT